AAAAACATATCTATTTCGAAACAATTGTGTTGTCTTTATCAGAAAAAAAGATTGTTGTAAAAGTCCATGGGATAGAATGTTTTTGAAAGTCTTGCATGGGATATTTTTCAACAATTTTTCGTCCCATCCCGCACGAAGCCCTGTTAGATATCATACGAATAAATTCTAGAATAGTTTTCTCTAGATCGGAACTGATAGATTAAACAGTTACCGAGACTGAGGTCCAAAAAAACGTGATCCCGCACATCTCTAATCGGAAGCCTTAGTCACTGGTAAAAAATTGTTTGTGCATCTTTGATGATTTTTAATTCTAGTACTACTATTAAGCCCATTTTTGTCTGAGTTATGTTTAGAATAATTTTGTTTTGACTTGATATTTAATTTAGCAGTTTGTTTAAGATTCTAACTTGTAATGAATACAGGTAAATTATCTGTAGTATTATTTATCATATATTCACTGAATTACATGATCAATAAATGATATTTTGTATTATATATTGTAATCATTTGTCACACAAAAGGAAAATTACAATTGAGTTTAATTGTCTTAGTCTTTTGAATATTCCTTTAATTTATTAGATTTTATTTTTCTTTTCGTTGACATGCACGCCATGAATGGGCTAAACATCATTAATGATTCATAGAATACAAATATGCTATCTTCTGAATGACGTAGCATTTACAAAGAAGGATTTATCTTTTCTTGACTCAATATTTACAAAGAAATTTATTTTTAAATTTTGATTCATCATGACAATGAAATTAATCTAATGAATATTTGTTTTTCTTAGGTGATTATACAATAATTGCTGGAAAATTACTTAATACAACTTTATCAGATCATATTATTGTTGATGCATATAAAATTCAATATTTTAAAACTTCATCGAAACATGAACTCAATTGGCCATATGAAGTAGTTGATATTAGTCAACGTGTTTATCATTAGATCTGATTAAAAACAAAAGAACACAGAAAGTTTATAGAGAAAGTCATAAATAATACTACGATAAAAAAAATACATCTCCGTTTCGGTTCATTGAAATTGACTGATTTTTTTCGTTAGTAATAGCAATTTATTCAAAATTTCTTTTTTTTTTTCATACGAATAATATAAATGCTAGTACTATTGCTAATCTCACTAAAGAAATTTCATCTGTTGTCAAATAAGGAAAAATACACTTGTGTAACATTACAAAATAACTTTGTGTTGTTACCCAAGAGGCTAGAAAGAAAAAAAATAAAACAAAGTTTATCAGTGACATTATAGTGAAGTGCAAAGAGGAAATTGTCAAGTTTAGCTAGTGTAAACTTTGATACGTATGTCCAATAACTAAGACGTATAATTGAAGCCCTTAATAAGCATTAAATTCCCAACTTCCTTGCAAAAAGCAGTGTTCCATGCTTGAATATTCGAAATATTGTAACGGTTGATTTTTAAACTAGACTATTCCTAAAAATTGACTCTATGTACCTATATATTGAAAATTATTTTAGAGAAATACATAGTTATATTTGATAATACGTCAAAATTTTATTAATGAAATCAATAATATTAATCTTTATTTACATTATACATATGAAAAGAAGAAATTTTGAATAAACTTTTATTATTAACTAGAAAAAAATCTACCTATTTCAATGAATTGAAGCGAAGATATTTGAAGTTTTTTTTTTTTCTATCAAAATATTATTTATTGTTCATCCTGTATATTTTCCATTTCTTTTTTTGTGCACAATAGAATAAATGTTTCCATACGTACAAAAAATAAACAATCAACTAAAACAAGAATAGATCAAATCATTAAAGATGTCGACCAAATCTTGTTGCAGGAATATAATGTTTTAAATTTGGTTTCCAACCTTGATTATAAGCATTTCGAAGTAAATCAATTAATTGTTGACGATTTTGTGATGAATTTCTAAGTATTGATCGGTGCTGTTCTTCTTTTTCTTCATTAGATTCACTATTACTAGTATCAGGTTTAATTGCTCGTGAATCTTGTGGTTCTAAAAAATAGATAATATAATATTATGAATTAAGTTTTGCTTGTTTTTTTACCTTCATATTCATAAGAATCTAATTCTCCATAAGATAATCCTCTACCAGAAGTGAATGCAAATATCAGTAGCAGTAAGAGAAAGATTTGTAGAAGGTAAGAGTGATCCATTTTTGTATGCTCTGAAAAATGCAAAAAAAAACAACAATGAAGCTATATAAAACTATCGCAAATATTTCTTTTTATAATATCAAGTTGTTGTTTTATAAGATTAAAAAAAATTTTCTGTTTGCTTTGACCATGATATTTGCCTATGTTGACGCTATATATGACTCAGCAGATTTTGAAATTAGACACCTACTTACATATTAAATAACTGACTAAAATAATTTCAACATTCTCTCAAAAATTATTTAACATAATTTTTTTTGTCATGCAAAAAAAAACAAATTACGTTAGAAAAAGAAACCAGATAAGTTAGGAGAAGACAGAAGAAAAAGTTGTTCGATTCAACATATTGACAAATCGACGTGCATATAAAGTGTCAATAACCAATAAGAACGAAAATTATAAGAGTTTACTCGGAATCAATAGTCTTATTCTAATAAAACAAAAAAAAAACTTAGCTTAACCATAATAGAAAATAGATCATATATGAATATTCTTCTTCGATTAGTTATTCTCAATAGTTCTTTTTCTCTATTGCTTACCAGTATATTTATATCTAACAATTTACATGATTTTCTTCACAGAATATATAATATGAGTAAATTAAAACTTGGGCTAAATATTGATGATTTTTCATCTAAATGATTTATTGTCCCTTTTTTGAGACATATAATACATTTGGGAATCCGATATAATTCATTACCTATTGCGAGGAAATTTATCGAACGTGGTTTTTTTTTCTTTTTTTATATTATGCTTAAATTCTTAAGTCAATAAAGGTATTTAAAATGTGGAAAAGAACACACGTATACATAGAATATTTATCATATTATGACTAATGTAGATAACACATTTGGTTTATCCTTCTATTTTTAACTGATAATTTTCTAATTAACGGAATATCATGGATACAAAACGTGCAGAAATTAAATTATATCCCGCAAATGAAACTCAGTATGTAAAATACATGATCAAGATTCTTATTTAGAACAAAAAAATTATAGCCGGTTAGGATATGCATGATTTTTTAAATAACAGCTCATTAATAAATACAAAAAAAAAATACAGAGATATACTAGTGGGTGTAGAAATATTCGGTTAGATGAGTACCTTAGTTTTGATTAAAAAGAATAGCCGACTGGGATATGAAAAGAATATTCTATTTATCTGAGGTACCATTAAATGATGAACAGATGAATGAACTATTAAAAGACACGATTCTCTCAGTCCGTTTCTTTTTTTTCTTTGTATTACTTAACTAATGAGACACATAACTTCCTTTTTCATCATAACTTGAAGATGGACATAGCGAATCGTAAATTAAGTTTATTTAATTTTTTTCAAGTCTGCTTATTATGTCATAAAGTAATACTTGGTATGAAAAGACCGTCAAGAGATTTATATATCGTCAACATTATGATAATGCATTATCTCTTCTATTTTATAATATGAAATTTTAACAGACATAAATATTAGGATTTCTTATTATTATAAGTTCAATGAAAAACAAAAGAATATGAACCACGGTTAATTAAATCTCATGTTTTAAGTGCTTTTCTTTTTTATTTAATTAAAAAAACTAAATATAAATTAAACAAGAATAATTTTTGCTGAAAAATGTTCAGATCAACGATGAATCTTTTTTTCCGGAAATAAAACATTTAATTATAAAAGACTTCAACAGATCGACATGAAAAAAAAAGAAATTAAGCAACAAATTTTCCACTTACTTGATTCCATTATTAAGAATTATTAATAGAAATCTTTGTGACATGATTTATCATAATAAATATATGACTAGGCTCAAAAGAATCTTGTCTCTATGCAACAATTTTGGATTTATTCAAATAATCTAATTAATACTTCTTAATAACGTTTTGAAACAAATAGTTTTATAAATTACATTAAGTTTAGAAGTCTAAAGTATAAAATCTTAATCTTACCTGTTATTACGTTCTGTAGATATCAATGCCTCTTGACAAATAATACAACGACTATATCTATATACCGATAATAGGAGAAGAAAAAACCAAATGATGAAAAACTCGATAGATTATAAAGATAAAAGAAACGTTCGAAAAAAACAACTTTAAAAAAATCAGATCAATAGGAAAGGATATGTCCATTATATATAGATGTATGACAAACAAGGAACAGTTTCCCACGCATATGTGATAGAAAGGGATGATCCATGAAACATGACTGACAACAAGAGAAAAAAAAGAATTTAAATATATGTGAGTATAATAAGGATACTCTTATGATCTCATCTGAAGAGCATGTAGGTCATAACATAAAGATTTGCATAGATCTATTTATAATGTTTTCTAATAAAAAAATCTGTTAGAGATATGATTGGTTCGATTTGATGTGAAAAAAATAAATACGAAATTTTATTTTAACTTTCGAATTTGTCTAATTTGTTTTGAATTTCTCCTGCAATTTGTCGGCAATATTAGAGATGACTAAATTGATTAAGTTTCTAACTTTCAAAGTAACATCTATTAAATATTTTAAAATTTTATTTTCAATAAGTGATGTTTTTATTCGTTTATTTAATATCTAATATCTACTCATATTATAAAAAAATTCACTAATAGTAAGGTGCCGCTAACCCAAAAATCTTC